AGGAGCAGGATGGCCAGGGGAGGCTGCTCCTGGAGCTGACCAACGCTCCCGTGGACACAGCCAATGCACCGGCATGGAGCCCATCTCCTCCATCCTGCCTCTCCTCCCTCCCACACTGCAGGGAGTACCTGGCTCTTGAGGTCAAGGTTGCATCTGTGGGGTGCCCCTTGTGATGCTTGGAGCCACGGAGGAAGCAAACTGCTCCATCTTCTCCCTGGCCAGTTTAGAGCATTATCCTTCCCCAAGAAACATCTCAGCAGTGCTTGTAAATCATTTAGCAGCATCCCACAGTGAGCTCGGGGAACCGGGTTAACAAATACCATTGTATAGCTCTGCTTTTCTTAGGCCCATTAGCTGTCATTTTTCTGGCAGCACCTCCACAGTCCCAGTACCACAGTTTAAGTCTGGGGGAGTGAAGCACGGGGAGGGGGGGTGGGGGGTCCTTTGCCCCCTCCAAATCAGGCCTCAGTTAAGCAGCATTGGGAAAAAGATGTCAGGAGCAGGTAGGAAAGAAACAGGGAGCTGGTGCTCACCCTTGGCATTAGCAAGTCTACTGTAACCACGGTGCTACGAAACTTTCCTGTTTGCACATGAGCGCAATGTTATTTTTTTTAACCAGGGCTGTTTCTAGCTATAAAGAAGGAGCAGGAGATGGGACTGCTCACCATCCATGGGGCAGCAGGAAGGGGATTTGTGATTTATCCATTGCTCCCTCAAGGGGAAAAGGTATAGATACTTCTTGGGTCTATTTTTTTTTTTTCCCAAAAACTTATTATTACCCTAAACCTACATGAAAGCTACACAGAAAACTGGAGAATGATGACACCTCTGTAAGATTTTAGGGGAGGATCTTGTTACTTTTCTTTAAGAACAACCCTATAAGTATCTGTAAGACATGCCTGTAAGGAGAGGGACAGCCCAGTAAATCCGCAATTGAGAAACCCCTGCAACCTACTAGAATGGATTTCAGAAAGAAGGAAGCTGAGAAAAAGACAGAAAATAACATTAAAATGTAAAAAGAACGGGGCTTATGGGTACTGCTCACCCTGTGCATTGCTGTCCTTTGTTTTAGAAGTAAGTTGGACAATAAAAATCAGTTATTCACACCAGAGTTTTGGGTTCCTCCTTCTGCCCTGTCAAATCTGCACCCCCAGCCCTGCAGGCACCCCCAGCCCACCTTCTCCTGCACCTCCCAGCACCCAGACAGCTCTCAGTGCTCCACCGAGCTGCCGGGCTGGTTTCCCTCTCCCACAGCTGCCTGCTGGCTCCCTGTGTGCCTTTGCTGTCTCAGCGACTGGGAAGACTCACCGAGATCCCTGAATGCTGCTGAAAACAACCACATTCTTGGTTGGTTGCCCAAAGAAATGCATTAGATGAACAAGAGAGCACACTGTAAGGCTTGCTTTTGCTCCTGGTTACCCTGTGCTGAAGAAGCTGTGAACTACAGGGACCCCACATGCTGCTCTGGCATATGTTCTATTAAAAAAAAAAAAAAAAAAGGATAATCTTTCTGGTTATAGAGAGTTGTTTCTTCCCTCTCCCAAAGCTCTGCACCTTGGAAAGTGTTAAGAACCACCCGTCAATACAGCCTTTACATCTGGCAGTCTATACGCACGATTTGGTAGAGGGGGAAAAAAAAGCAGCAGTGTTTCAAAGACAGACCAGAGAGCATCCCTTTGAGGGTTATACCTGAAGCACACAGGCTAACCTACAAGCGCTGTCAGCTCCTGAAAGCATGTGGAGACACAGGTAAAGGCTGGCCCAGGTCACGTCCCAGAACACACAGTCCCACCGAGAGGGATCAATGTACAGCCACACTGCCCAAATCTCCAGGAGCTGCCAGCTCTGGAGTTCAGGACTATGCTGAGAAGGAGAAACAAGGACTTGGGAACTATTTTTGGATTTTTCCATAGAGTAGAGCGCACTGGGGCACAGCATGTGCACTGTGCCTTAGCACATCCTACACGATGGTCAACAATAGCAGAGGAACAAAGCAGCTTGTAAGTGACAGAAATTAACATCTTCAAGCTAAATTCATTGCGTAAACTAGCTTTCTTGGGTTGACTAAAATAAAGGAACAATCCCAGTAAGCAGTGGCTCACATGTCAAGGAACAATTGAAACAACCCTTACGTCAGTCCTTCCCCATGGTCCCTGCTCAGCCCTATTCACCCAGAAGAGGTAAGAGCATCTATTTAAGGGATTGTGTTTCACTAGGGAAGAAAACGAGGATGGAGAGAGGACATAGACTGATTTGCTCTGCTGATGGTGAAAGACAGAGAGCAGGACCTGGAAAATGTCAACTTGCATAGCCCTTGAAGGGGGAGGAGGTACAGCAGCATTACAGGGTCTACTCAGTGCATTCAGACTCAAGTAACTGGGGTTCACATAAAATATATCACTTACAGATAAAGCTAATCTTGAAATTCAGATGCACGATGTTCAGCAACTTTTTAGATAGAGTTGTTTATGTTAGGATATAAAAAGCAGCAAAAAGTACACAGTATACACAGAACTTCAGTTTGGAGAAGCACTAAGGTTTCAGTGGATTTACCTCATCTCTGTATTAAGTGTTATTTCATTTATTGGAAACATGAAATAAGACAAGCCAATACATACCACTAAAACTTTGCAAAGAGGAAAATAATTTTATTCCAGTGTTAAGTCATAAAACAGTGTGATAAAAATCAGACCTTTAACAATTGCTAAACTTTGTGCAAACACATTAAGAACTTATGCACTTTCCTATTCAGCTATAGACATTCGATTGAATGCAAGAACAGGTGTTTACGATACTACATGCTTACTGTACAGAAGCGTACTAGAGGAGTCAGAGACCAAAGGTTTTAAGCATGGTTACATTGATGAAAGACTCATCTACCCAAGAACAAATACATTTCTCTATTCTGCGATGCAGACTACTTTGATAAGACTACTTCAATATCAATTCTTCTCAAACTACAGTGGGAAGCCTAGCAAACTAAACAAGCAAGAAGATGGTTCCTGCATGAATATTTTGATGTATCTTTCCATTAGCTATCTGCCAGCAACAGAATACTGCTGATTAAGTTACACAGTTCATCAATAGCTAACACATGGTGGGGAAAAGACAACTGTTCTCTGGAAACCAGTAATACAGACATCCATTCTTAAGAGTTAAGATTATAGTCTTATGATGCACAGAGACTTTAGGCGCACAAATGCCATATGCAGTACAATAAAAAAACTTCTTGACTGGGCTGTGCTGTAAGAGAACGAGGCTGTATTATACATACGTGGATGAGTTTTTCCCCACACTGTCCTATGAGGTAGGTATACATCCCACCCATTTCACAGGAGAAGAGGCACCATAGTTCAGCAACTTGTTACAGTCATATAGAACAGGTTCCAATTTCCCAAATAATTCATTAACCCTACCTACCCCGAATCGTTTATACAGTTGCATAGATTAAAGACCCTGTGTCAACAGGGTAGAGCCACCAGTTACAAAATCCGGGAGAAATTCCCATCACCTCTCCCCTCGGTCTCCCACGTAAAAAGAACACCTTAAGGGAAGCGACATGGAAGTAAAAACATGTTTTTAATTCTGAGAAATTTGTATGGAGCTCTTTAAACTGAGATTTGAGTCGAGACTGCTGAAGTGAAAGCCGAGGTAACTGTGGCACAGGCCTTTTTGTACCTTCACTCCACAATGCCGAGTTCACAATGAAGTCAGAGTGTTCTGACATCTCTACCATGTTGTCACTGGCCGTGCATGTTCATCTGAGCACACAGGTCCTGAAGACGCCTCTTTAGGAATGGAATCAAACTGAACCCTGGGGCTGCTCCATCCATTCCCTGTGGCGTAGCAGCTGGTAGGTGTCCTCCAGACAAGAACAGCATGGGGGGATGCAAACCTTTTCAAAGCAACCATGCAACTCTGTGCAAGGAACACCTTTCTTGAACTAGAACACAAGCCTGTAAGAGGTATATCCACACCTCTGCACATCTACTAAAATCCAGAATAAAATGCACAACAGAACAAAGTCATGAAAGTTTACAGAACTTAAATATTTATTTTTAAACCATTTAAAACCCCCCAAAACATTGAAATAAGCTTCATCTATAAACAGATTTACAAGACTAATGACTACAGAAGCTAGAGGAGCATTACAATTTGTTTCTGTGATGCAGTTATTTTGTAAAGCTTCAGATCAACTCTATTTACAACTTTTGCTGCTTTTACATTTATAAAAATATTTATTTAATCCATAACATTATTGTTTTCAAAAACTATTTCCAGACTTTTTTCTCAGATATAAATTCTAATTGAATTTCAGTTATATAGCAGATGAAAGTTTTAAACGGAAACATTTTTTTAAAATTAAAACAAGGAGTTAAAGTTAATTTTTTTACAGTGTAGGCACCATTGAAAATAATTGTCCTTGGCATATCGAACCACGATCTCTCACAAGTATCCTTTATATAAAAACAATGTAATGGCAACATTTGACTAAAAATGCAGTATTTACTTGCACACCATTACTTTTTCAATATTTGGCAGATATATTTCAGATTCTTTAAAATGACTTTTGTGCAAAAACAAAATGTGCAGGTCTGAACCATAAAATAAACACACCCAGCCTTTATCAAAAATAAATTTACACCAACAGTTCCACAGCTAAGTACTGAAAACCAATCCCAGTTCAAAACTTCAGCATAATATACATACTGGGTTGAAAAAGGGAAAAAAAAAAAAAACAGAAGAGAAGATATTACCCATCTAGCAGTACCATAAATATATAACTGAAAGCAACTTTATAGTCTTACCTACTTTTTATGGAAAAAAAAAAATCACTCTGTACTGCACAGTACTACCTTTTTGTGAAAGAATATCTATAACTCAGTTATTTGCATATTAACTGGTAAATACATATTTAAAATACACTTTCAGAAAATTATAAACAAATTATGTTGATGTACTGTATTTAATGTATTTAAGAACAAAAATGTGTATAAATATCTTACAGGAGAAACAACACCACGACACAGAACGCTGGTGTTACACTTATACCTGCTTGCGAGGTATGTATCATGCGACGCTCGGCTTCTCTGGCTCCCTTCCACCCAGGTATATGTATACTCAGAGGAAAAAAATTAAATTAAGTTAAATTGGACTTCAGGTTTTGTCCATTATTGCCAAAAGCCCCACCCCCTCAACTGTATTGCTCTAAATTTTCCTACCATCATGATATAAGATTGAACTACTACTTCAAAACCTGTTCTAAAAGGTAATACATATACTGTACATCAAGATATACCCATTGCTACATATCACCTGCAAACTATTGACATATTGCTCTCAAATATATTTAATCATAGAGCTGCCTAAAATACTGTACCAATTTAGAATTATAATAGATACTGTTGCAGGTTTATTTTTCAGGGCACGATAACTATATGCTGGTTGAAGCAGGTGCTACAGCAATATCCTTGCCACTACGTTACATGTTTTGAGTATGCTTGTGAAAAAGCTATTTTTTCTGAAGCTTGTTAGTGATTTACAAAAGTTTAACTCATGAATACAAAAGACCTGTACATCCCCATGTACAGGAACAAAATAGCATCAAAACATACTGTACTTGCACTTTCTATTAACTAAAGTAATGGTTATTTCTAAAAGCAAAACTGCACCTCAACATTTATCAGATTAAACAGGTGAAACTACAATATTAAAAGTTGTTCTTTACAAAATAATTTCCTGAAAATATAAAACCATGTGCACTGCCACAAAATAGTTGAGTAGGTTCTTTCAAATCCTCAATCACCATCAATATGTTGCAAAGATCCAAAAGGCACAAGGAGCTCATGAGCTAAGCACTGCCAAGCTTGAAGTAGTTTTGGTGGGTTTCACTGGGTCCATACGAAACAGCAGTCAATTATGTGAAGTTTCTTAGGATGAGTCATTAACAGAAAATCTATGGATAAAAAAATGCAAGTAAGAATTTGTTAATTGTATTGTTTTAGCTTGGCAAACTGCACATAACTATTTTTGCATCACTAAACTAGTACATGCCTTCATCTCAACAGCTCATCGGAAAAAACCACCAGAAGTAACATTCTCAAGAAAATATTCCCTAAAAAGGTAAGTTAAAGATTCTCCTGCTCCCTTACTGGCTGTAAATATGTTTACGACAAAATTGCAGGCTAAATTAAAGATACCAAGGCATAACAACTACAGTAAAACTGCAGCATTAGAAGACCAAACAGGTAATTGTTACTATTAATTTTAGTCTCAAAAAGAAGTGCCATGTGTAAGTACCAAAGCTAAAGGTTAGCACTGGACAATAGCAAATACTGGACAATAGCAAAAATAGCAAAGCACTGGACACAGCAAATCTTTCACTTATCACTAAACTACTCAAATTTACCCAACATATGAAGTTTACTGTCAATTAACCTTTCCTGTGTGTAAGTACTTAATTTAAAATTTTTCTTTTAAAATAAAACCGTTTTTTTTTTTTAAAACCATACACACAAAAATTTGCTTAACTTACTTCTGAAATTTCTCCATAAGTTTCTTCACCATCTTATCTGTGATCCCTGGACACGTTGCTTCCGCCATATTGATGCTTTTCTCAAGTTCCTCAATTGCTTTCTTTCTGCTAGCATTATTTGTGTCCTGCTGTTTCAGCTGAGTAGCAAACCAAAACAGATAAAACTTATAAAAGTTATGACACCTGGATAATACTTTCAAAGAAGCTTTTAAAATAAAGACTTACCTCAGCAAACACAGGGGTGATTATCATAGTTAAACAACTCAGCGTTTTAACAAGATCCTGATCCTAAAAGTTAACAAAGAAGGATTACATTACCATATTCCTATACACCATATATGCTGCATTTAACACAGCACATGTGATTTTGCAGGTGCAGTTAAATTCAACAAAGCACTTGAAATACATTACAAAAACAATAAAGGCATAGTACATCAACAAACGTTATGTGATGTGGAAATAGATGCCTGATGACACATCTGGAACAGTGTCCTATATCGTCAGAAAAACAGTTCAGTTTTTCCTCTCTAATATTATATGAGTCTTCAAAATTCACATCTCTGTGAACAGATACTGATCTATCAGTATGCATATCTTTTGCATTTAAGGCTGACGTGGACATACGAAATATCCCTAACAAGCATCATCTCTTGAACTACAAAAAGACAGTTCTTATGAAAAGTGAATAATTACTAAGTTTTATCACTATCTTCCTTAAATTGGCTTCAAAACCAGCACTTGGAAAGAAGAACTCTTCAGACTGTACATACCGTCCCATTCTGCAGCTTCTTTGCATCTGGTTTCTTTCGAACTGTAGTAAAGCTCCACTCAGGATGAGAGTTATTTTCTTTGTTACTGGACTCCCTGAAGAAAAAGGATACGATGTACATAATACTAGCCACAACGTAACGCTAAGCCAGCGTAACTCAAATACATAATACATCTATATGGATTAGTTCAGTATTCCTTAAAATAAGAAGGAAAATGCGTATTGAAACATTAACTGAACTTTAAAAAAACACCTGCAGAGGCTGAATAAATTGAAATATGATCAAAGTAAACAGAAGATGTTATCTACCCATAAAGCTTACCTTCTTGCATGGTATCCCATTTAAAAGGTATCTGATATCCAGAAAAGCAAGAGACTTACAGAATGTATGTTGTTCCACAGGCATTCTGCAAACTTCTTCATACACCTCAACCTTGCTCTGCAATATTTCTAATTGTGATTCATTGTTTTTGGTATGACCACTAGCCTCAGACTAGGAAATACATAGCACTTACACAGAACTGAAACTGAGCTCAGAGAGTGAAAGTTTAGAGATGATGAGTGCACAGCTTGACTTATATGTTAGTCTTTAGGTTCATACAAAGGGTTTTATTGAAATGAAAAACATACGGAACAAAAGACAGATGTACAGAAGAGGAGTTAACTACACAGAGGAACTGCGACAAACTTACTTTAGTAACATTATTTACAAAACAAGAAAAAAACAAAAGGCCCAAAAGAGACTAAACTGAAAACAAACTTACGAATCTGAACCATCGGAATCACTTTCATCACTACTATGTCCCTCTGCTTTCCACCTCTTAAACCTATCAATCAGTTCTGTCAGATATGAAGTCTTCTTGGCATTTTTCATAATGAATTTGTGCTTCAGAAGTTCTTTTGCAGTAGGGCGCTGTAAGAAACACTTTAAATATTTAATGTTATGCTAGCATGTCATGATTTTAAATGTTAATAGGGGGGAATTAGTAAGACAACTGAGTTCTAGGGCTAACTCATATACTATCAGGAAATTAGTGAAACAGGAAGTCAAGAAAAGCCAGTAATCCACATTTACAAGCACTCTAAAAATATGAACAAGTCACACACTGCCTATACTGCTTATCCTTCTGTGCTGGAAGGTACACACCCAGGAAAATGACTAATCAAAATTCTCCAATGCAACATTTCCTTGTAAGCAGAATTCAGACAGACAGCAGAAGTTCTGCTGAAGAAAAAGAGCTAAGATTTTCTCCTCTGTTAAAGCTTCTCTTCTGACATTATCCTAGGTTTGAGTGCATTTTAGGAAGCTGCCTCTGCCACCATCATTTCCTTCACCATTCTCCTGCCTCCTTTCAGTATTTTAAGCAAAAGAGACTAAGATGGAGACACAGCTATTAAAAAGGACCACTACCATTCACAGTGGGAAGTACAGTCTCCAAAATTATTTCAATCAATTATGATGCACTACACCTGCAAAATATTTCACAAACATGAGAGTAGAAAACAAACCCAAAACATCTATACACACACACACATATCTACTCACAAATGTTGGGTCCTTATTCAGACATGCATCAATGAATTCTTTAAAAGGTTTACTGAATTCTCCTAATAAAGTTGGAGGATTGTTTTTCGGAATGAGAAACAAAACTCTCATCGGATGCATATCAGAGTTGGGAGGCTCCCCTTTGGCTAGTTCAATAGCAGTGATTCCCAACGACCAGATGTCAGCCTGAGAAAGGGAAAAGTTACTTTTAGTACAAAATTAAGGGCTAAGTATTTATTAACTGAAATCTTCACATATACTGCATCTATATAATAAAATTTATCTTGGTCTAAGTAGATAATGTGCAAAGATTCCTTTCCAGTACTTGAAGGCTATGATTCCCAAAGACCTGGCTGACCTAATCAGTCTTTAATGACAACCATCTACAACATCGCCTTTGTTGCACAGTCACTGTTGTAACACTGTCAGCAAGTTAAACGTGCACCTAAATACACGTGCTTTTGGAAAAAGCTTCAGAAGCATTCATCTTCCTTCAATTTTTTTCTATATATGAACTAGAAACTGTCACAAATTTCCTATGTTTAATTCAGATTTTGTTTAGATAGCAAAACTGCATGCTGATGTTACTTTTTAAACTGCAGATGCACTGAGGTATCCAATCTTGTTTGACACCTCACACTAAAGGAACAAGGTAGAGTTGAATCAAATCCAGTAGGTGATCACTTAGTTTCTTTCCTAACAGACTGCTTGATGAATTTAGCTAGAAAATTATCAAAAGCTAGACAGACCCTAAACACCAAGTTCACAGTTTAAGTTTCTGAAGAATAATGAAGTGGTATTTATTTTAGTTAAAGGTAAGCATTATAAACAAGTTCTGTCTTTGTATTAAAGTATCTTATGAACTATAAAATTCTTTTCCGATTTAGAGATTTTTTCCAAGTGAAATATACATTACGTGCATCTTTTTAGATGAGCTACAATAGCTACTAAGGTCACTAAAGGTGTTTCTCATTAAGAAGTGGCTGGCAATGGTTGACTACACTTGGCACAGAAGTCATAAACCAAAGATGCTTGTAGAGTAAACAAGGGTTACAATTTGCATCTCTCCAATACTCCTTTCCTATTTACAAGAACTAAAATATCTTTACTTAATATTGAAGAATTAAACTAGCTTACTGTTCATTACTGAAATATCATAACCAACAATTGTATATTGGAGCAAAATGTTTTGAAAGAAGAGGTGGGCCTTGTAAATCTCTGCCACTACAAAAAGGTATGAACTTCTATTTTATTTTCTGTCACTTTGAAGTAGGGTGAGAAAGAGAAATGTTAAAATTTAGTCCAGATACCAAAATATTCATCAGTATTAGTCTAGAAATTGAAGTGTATCCTCTCCAAAACCCTTCATCTGTCCTACCAAAGGCTTGCATCTCTTTGCTTTCCCACCAGACTTTCCGCATAGAAAGAAAAGGGAGAGGGCATTGCTCTTGTAACATGTTGAAGAGATATAGAATGTAAAAGATTAGGTTGCTGAGATAATGTAAATGAAGGGGTGGTTCAGCTGATTTACACACAGGGCAAGCAGAAGAGGAATTATTCTCACTTTGACTGGACAACATGCATTTTTAAAGTAGGGTAGAATGCTTTTCCAAAATGCCCTTGGGAGTATATTAGTTGCACCACTGAAACCATAAACATGAGAACTACAACATACTTCTTATCAGCAAGAACCCTTGTGACATGTACACAAATTCCTTCAAGTCTGAATGACCCTGGGAAAGTCTTCTGGGGTGTGAATATCTTCAGGACACCTCAGATACTCAACAGCCTTTTCTTTATGTGCACGTCACAAGTACAGTTACATGCTTGCTGTTTGACAAAAACTGGTACGAAAATATTACTTCGCATATACCAAGAATTTTAGATTTCTTGCTCCTATTTAAGGTTGCATCTACAGACTGTAGAAAGTCCAACATCAGCACTGAACTACACTGCCATTTCACTAACCACACGCTCTATGTCATCTTGTGAGTATACACATGGGCAAAGAGGCGACTGTTCCTTCCCTATTGTCACTTCTAGCAGCAGTTCCCAGCCCACAGAAAACACGGAGAAGGTCTGCTTTTCTACTGCTAGTTCACATAGGGAAACTCTCCTCTGCAATGAGTCATGAATCAACAGCTCCCACGACAAAGAAATGTACAAGGTACCATAATGTTACCACAGCTACCCATCCTGTAGTTCAAGTTACTTTTTTCCTTCTCAAGATCAGTCACCTGTGCTAAAATCTTCAGCACTACACAGGTCCTCAGAAATACTATTAAAGAAATTATATCCAGAGCCGTTTACAAAAATCTGAGGAGAGTAAAATTTCAGCCACCATCTTGGTTTTAATAAGCCGGTAAGTTCTGGTGGCATTCTAATTTGTGAGAACTGCACTATTGTTTGAATTAAATGTGAAACATTGAATTAAAATTAAAACCAAGTCAACCAACCAACCCACAACACTGAAAGCATCCAGGGAGTTTATCTGAAAGAATCTTAACATGAAAGCATCAATTTACTTGGTGAGATTGCATGGGTCTTGCATGTGAGTACAGCGACATGTAATTGTACTTTTAATTTTATTATTTGAAACTCTGTAATTTAAAATCTACCTTTTTTCTCCATACGAATAGAGCTAAAAACACAAAAATCAAAGTAATTTTTGTGGGATCTGCAGATACAAAGAAAAGGTATTCTACTCTTTTACTTACTTTTGAATCATATGCTGACTGCTGAATAACTTCCGGAGCCATCCAAAATGGAGTTCCAACAAAGGTATTCCTCTTAATTTGTGTGTCTGTCAGCTGCCCAGCAACTCCAAAATCAGCAAGTTTAACATCGCCTTGTTCTGATAACAAGACATTGGCAGCTGCCAAGGAGAAATAACATGATATCTAAATTACAATACTGGTCTTATGATTTTTAAAGGCTTTAACAAAGTTAACATTTAAAATGTTATGCACCTTTTATATCCCTGTGAATTTTTTTCTCTGAGTGTAGGTAGTCAAGACCTTTCAAGATTTCCTTTAGCATGGTAGCAATCTGGAACTCATCAAATGGGCCGGCACGCAGCTTTAGAGAAAAGACACATTAAAATAATTTTAGTCTTGTATCTAATTTTTGCCTTGTTATTGATTTAATTAAATCTTAAAACTTGCAAGATTTTTTTAAGGTAAAGAACTAACAGAGTTCAGGAAATTTTCAATGAAGTATGTCAACATTCTACCAGAAATAGCTGCCATTCCATTGGAATTATCATCTTCACACCTCCTCTATTGACAATACATTGAAAATGCTGTTATTTTTCTAATGTATACAGTATGCACTCCCCTTAGCACGCAATGCACACAGAAAGCTAGAACTAACTTTCCACAAAGTTATAGCTTCCTACAGACAGCAAACACAGCAGACTGAATTTAGCATTTTAGATGAAGTGAATTAAGAAACTCAGTTTATTGCAAATTAAATTAGTCTATTGACTGTGGTTTTCAAATTTAATGATGCATTTTTTTATTGCTCCAGCATTTTTGATTCCATGCTTGCCTTTGCACCAAGAACATAATGCGCTACTATAAAGTTGCTAGTATGGAATAAGTGTAAACTTCGCACATTAGAAAGCTTTGTAAACAGAGCAGAAGCAATTAAGGTGGGTGATTTTACCATTAAAAAAATACCAACAATGCAGCACTGAAACAGAGAATACCATGAAATTATGGTATGGTGAAGTGAGGCAAATGAGGCAAAACTTGAAGTTCTATTCATCTAAAGGTTCAGTGGTTTCAATTGTCACTAGTAAAAGCTATTTCACTATTTCTGACACTCCACAGAAGACCATCAATTACTCAAAAGTGTTAAAGAGTAAGTATCTCACAGACCCTTTCTCAAAAAGACTATGTTCCAGAGCTACAAACTACTACATGCTACACATAATTACTATGCTTTTGCATTCCCGCAGCTGAGTTGATGTGATGTAATTTCATAAAGAAATTCAAATAGATTTGTAAAGTTAAGCACATACTTCAACTCCTGCAGACAGGACCATTGTTAGCAAATACATAATCAACACCGTTCTGTAATACTGAAGACATGATACTTTTCCTTCAGAATCACACAAAGACTGAGTTATATTATCTTACAGGAAAGGGTGGGTCTCTCATCTTCACACTTGAGGCAGAGCTGCACTGAAAGTATGGGGAAACCACATCCACATACAGTGGACTGTGCTCTTGTACTCTCTAAGCTACACCTTTCATGAATGCTACATTATCTTAAGTAAAAGGCACTTTCATGCTTAACTGGAAATACCCGAAAATGGAAAACTCAACACCTTTTAACCAGTTAAAATCAACTGTACTCTGTGAGCACACACTTCATTCCTGAGACCCAGGCCCAAAGGAAACATTTTTTATTCAAGTGTAATGAATTCCACTCAGGGGAGGGTGATGGACAGACAATCCAAAACCCACCACATATGGCAAGAACAGTACTTCTCGCCTTACTAAAAAAAAATGCCTTATATTTGACTGAGAACAACTGGATGCTTCCTAATGCTTAGAGACAAAGAGTAAAACCAAAAAAAAATCAACATCAATTCAATAGAATTGATTGATAGAACTACCAGCAAATTCACACTTTTTGGAGCATTACAGTGTAGCAGTGATGTTATACCAAGTGCATCCAGGGACTAGATTTTATAAAGAGATATGAAAGCACAAGGAAATAAGGTTCACTAGTACTTATAGTGCAAAACCCCATATACTTACAAGATCCAAAGCTGACCCTCCACCCAAATATTCCATTATTATCCATAGTTTTGTGCCCTGTAAAGGAAGACATGAGTTGTTAGAAGTCCAAGGCTGCCATAAAAAAAAAAAAAATTAATTATTTCCGTAGACTACCAGCACACAGTTTGGAGAATGCAAATGCAGAGTCCCATTAATCACCAAGTTACACATAATTACTTCTTGTAGAATGATCACACAGCTCCTGTGTAAGATGTCTAAATATCAATTAAAGTTTGACTTCTGTATTTAAAAAAGCAAGAAAAAAAAAAAAAAACACCATCACTCCCCCTGCCCCTCTAAACATTTTCCACTAACTGGTATCTAAAATGATTCCACCTAAAGGAATGGAACTTAGAGAAGAAAGATATAAGGTGACGGTTTAAGCTTAAAACGAAGTGTTTTAATGTAAGGTTGTAGTTCTTACAAAAGACTGTCTTTGCATTACTATTATGAATTCCAGCCATTTGCAATACAGAAGCATTACAATTTTAATTGGAAACCTTCTTGTAACATCACCACATCTCTCATCTGAGGAAAATACTCAGAACTTAAAACGACTTCTGAGAGAGAGAGTGAGCACAAACATGTTTCAAAGACAACAGAAACTTAAAGCCTAGTGGAGGTAGCCGCTAGGTGCCTCTTCACCTACGTGGTAGCTGTGCAAGGGTGTATCTAACATGTCCACAAGCTCCAACTTGTTGTCAGATCCAGCAAAAAGTGAGAATTGACAGCCTTTGAATATGCTTGTACCTAAGGACTTACGTCCTACCACAAAACATGTCTGCTACCATAGGGGCAGCTCCGATTCTGAGATTGGCAGCACTACAATCACCAGTCAGAAGAAACTGCACTGCCAGACTTGGAACCTGACAAAAACGTTCAGATTTCCAAAGTTTTCAGAGCAGAGGTTCAAAATCTGCCATTTAAAGGCCAAAGAGCAATATAGTTCAATAAAATGTATGACTTAAGGCACCTATTTATTTTAGGATTATTTTTTAAAAATTATTTCTAGTAATATTGCAAAGTTCATGTACTCCTTCACTATATGCTATTTGAATCTCAACCCCTGCAAATACAGGAGTTTCTACGCTTTCTTTGTGGAGATGTCTCAACTACTAGAATACCAGAAGTGACAAATCCTAACACTGATTTCTAGATGCTGACATTGCCCTTGGTACGTAGCTGCAAAAGGTGGCTGGTTCATATAAACAAAACCAGAAAGATTTGGCACTGGATCTACAGACCGTATGTTTCAAAACTGGGATCTTCTGCTATTTGCTTGCCAGAGTCCCCTCTCATTTCAGAAGAAACCCAAATATTAATCTATGGGTTACTACTCTAAGAAACTCTGCAAATAAAAACATTTCTTTATTTAAAGTAACAACCAGTTATTAAAAATACTCAACTGAACCAGACCTGGTGAAGCACCACATGCTGTTTAAGTCTCCAGCAAACATTTACTAGTGCTAATTTCTTATAACAGAGTACAAGTTTATGGTAGAAGTACTTTTTTAAAGCCTCTTGCATTCCACACTGTATGCTTTCCCACCCTATTGCCTGACTAGTGACAAAAATCTAAAGAAAACTCAACAAGCAAATAAAGGTGCAGTTTCTGAAAGCACCACATCCAATTATCCTAACAAAGTGTGCTCTATTAGATTTATACTGAATTTTAAAACCACACCATTTATGAGAGTCTATTCCAATATTATGAGATCAGCAGGGAAGGGCTGGCTAATTTTAGCAGTTTTTATAAAGCCCAACTTTGTCAGCTGAGAAGACCTGCAAGGAACTCCAGTTTAAGGCAAACATTGTGGTTACCAGACATGTTTGGAGGATTTGACTATTACTTGAAAACAGTATAGGGTGAAAATGAGTAAGTACTGTGTTTCTGAAATAATGTCTCAAAGAAATTGCTACTGTCCACTGTAAACGGGTGTGGATATTTTCTAGCCAGGCATGAACAACCTTTTTCCTAGCTATTTTAGGTCAACCAAGTATAAATAGACAATGCAGAACAAACAGTATCTTTAGATTTTCTCAAAGCTTTGCTGCACAAAGTGCCGTACAATTTTGGTGGAAGCCTCTGCATGCTACTACAGGAGTTCTCCATATTCAAATCTGAAAAACTGAATATTCAGGTTTGTTTTAATTGGGAAAGAAAAGAGCAAGCCCAGGTAGCTGTAATAGTTACACGCAAAGATATTTAAACCCCTCAGCTAGATGGTACCAATAGGAAAACAATAATGAAATTTCAGTCAACAAGAGACGATCTACCTCTTTGGGAGCAGATGGAAAGTACAGCTCAAGTATTTTATCGAGCTTCACAAATTTGCATAACCAAAACATGCCAGAACTAGGTAACTTTTAATATCTTTAATCTTTTTCTTGCCTGAACTGATAAGGCAGTAATACATTTTGACAAGCCATTAGGCTTGAGGAAAACACTCATTTTAGCTATTTAATGTAACTTACACTGCTGCATTGCTATGCACTATCACTTTCAAGGGTACCCTCCACAACCAACATTTTATTTATTGAGATGTGATGCTAATTGCAATCAAAGTGCAACATGGGATGAGGAGAAAATTTAGATCCTGACCTTCCACAAATATGAACATCTACAGCCTTCTACATCAAGATTTAAGTTACCTTACAGCTAGAAAAGTCACATTGATACAGCTGTAAGCTTGTACAATTCTACACGCATTTGTGCAAGACACAATATAACGGTAAAACATTTTACTACTGTACACAAATGTGCTTATTATGGTGCATTCTTTGACTATATATATGCTTGTACATAACCTACCAGTATGCTTAGAAAACACTACTGAGCTTGCCAGATACCCAATAAAAATTTAAGAAAAAAATTACTAATACCTAAGCTTTAACATTAATTCAATGTGAAACTCCTATTTAAACTCCAAAATTCAAGATATACAGGTACCCCAGCATATAAAGATACGGAGGTTTTGCGCCTTTTTGTGTCACAATAACTGGAAACTGGCAGCAGCTTTATCCCAAGAACCTCACAGAAGTAGACCTTGCCACCTTGTAGCAATAACAAGGTTTTTAAAGAGTAAAATACCTGGTAACAGACAAAAACCATTGCACTGCTATGTAAAAATATTAAGGGACTGTCCATATTTTTAAAAATCACATTTACAAGTCAGATGTACAAGCTGTAGCTAATGAGCAGCTAGGCTGCAGAACATAAGAGTACCTTAATGGTACCAGCTAGGCTGACTAAGTTACAAATTACTAAGTCAAGTAATTGAAATAAAGACAACCTTCCCTTCCTTCTTTCAGCAGCAGGAGCATCTGGAAGAGCCTGTGTGTAGCTGGTAAGCCCCAGGCTCCCTGAGACCGGGCCACTCCATCCCGATCAGCCACAAGCCTGGCTTTGGATCCTGAAGTGCAAGGAAACTAAAGCTGCAGAATATGTAGAATAGACTACAAAAATAAAATCTCTCATCTGAAATGCTTGCAATTAGAAAATCCTCACAGTTAACAAGTCTTCGTGTTTTAGACATAAACAACTTTTAATTATCAAATATGCTATCTTACCAGAGGAAAAACTGAAGCTGACTACAAATTGATGACAAGAACAATCTGCCTATTCAAACTGGTTAAAAAGCCAAGAATAAGCTACAACAGAAGATGTCCTGTTACAGTTCAACTGGATGAACTGAGGCACACGTGAAAAACCTGAAGCCAACACATGGTCTCAGCTGCAGTTTCTTCAAAGTAAAAGCTACGAAATTTAAAGATTTAAACCAGATCTAGATTACTTGACTAAGAAATATCACTAAGCATTGTAGGCAACCTGAATGCCTTTGCATTGAGGGTTTGCTTTGGTATAGTCACGAAAATATTAAATGCCTTTGATTTAAACAGTGCAAAACTCAAAAACATTTCTGATGACACTCCTAGAGCTTCAGAGAAAGCTACATGTATGAAAAACATATTTTAGTAAACTATTTCTATTCCATAAGCATGATCTGAAAGACGGTAGACTGGCTTAATTGTTTTGTTTTCTTGTAAATAAAGATGCAAAGAAAAAAAAACCCTCTTAAATTTTGAAATACCTTCTATTTACTGTATGCTAATGCTCTTCTTTAGCCACTATCTTAAAAGGTATTTCTAGGAATAGTTTCAGTGACCTTTATATATAAAACTAAGTATTCACCAACAAACCTATGGGACCACTTTGTGATCTTCGTACCAGTCATATCCATAGCAAATTGCTACTGATTTCTGCAGCCTAGGACTTTGCCTTGTAAGAAGTAAGATGTCTTAATTTTCAGAATTTAACCTCAATGTTCTTTAATTATACAGTCATTTGGTACACAACTGTACCTATCACTGTTTCCAAGAGCTGTCCACAGTATATAGAGAAATTAAATCCTGAACGAAGTACTACACAGCTAAATACTTAGGCTGACAGCCATTCTCAGAGTAACAGCTAATAAAATGTTAAAAGCTATAGCAATTAAGTTAAAAAAAAAAGTAGATAGATACAACTCTCAAAATACCTGTTATCACTAAAATGAAAAGGCAGCATAAAAGATTCTTTGTACATTTAACAAAGCTAAAATACACTTTCCCCTAAGAAATCTCAAGCTGAAAGATCTAGTATTAGTAACCAAAAATAAATCTAGCCTAAGAAAAATTCAGAGCCAAGATACCACTTAAACAGTAATTTTGTTTATTTATTTTTATTTACAGAACTAAAAGTACTCATTTCTTTGTGGACATTTTTATTCCTCTACTTGGGGAACAGCAAGCAGTAGAACTACCTATCACATGCTAGTCTGGGATGAAAAACATTCCTGTAAACCATTTTTTAGTTTTTTGGGTTTGTTTTTGCCTGCCTTTTTTTTTTTTAAAGAGAAATTTCTTAAAGGAATGTGAAAGTAACTAAAATTCCACAAACACCTCCTCAACCTCCAGGTACAGAAATTTTCCTTTCCCAAAAACGTTTACTTCTCACACTTCTTACAAGAGATGAGCATTAATCTTTCAGAATTTACCCCTTTAGAATAGAAAGAACTCAAACAGTGGTGAGGAAAGTACTGCAGCATTAACATGATCCTATAATCACCAGGAATTTTTAAAAAATAAAAACCCAAAAGTTGATAGTTTATAGCACTGATAGAATAACTAGATATATCTAAGAAAAGGGGTAAAAAGTGAAAGACTGGCACAATAAGGCCAAAGACAAACTGCTGTAATGCATAGGTAGGTAGATTTGCAATACCACTTTTACTTTCAGTACTACTGTTGCTGTAAATAACAAAAAGATTATTTTCTTTC